GCACATATACCGGAATCTCGTTATACCGGACGCTAAGAGCTGGACCAAACCGTCCGGTATAAACAGGTTTGACTGTATATAGCAATGCTTATATAAAAGCCAACGATATCGGATTGTCGAAGATATCATCTAAACTCATTTGTTTATTACGGAAATACAACAACTACTTCACAACCCCCAAGGCTGGCTGGCCCTGCCGTTACAAGAACTCCCAACTTGACGCTCACGCTCCGGTCGCATACCTCGATCTAATAACGAATGGATTATGTATCGGTGAAAAGGGATGGAAGAGGAAGCGGGTGAGAGGGATGGAGAGGAAGCGGCGGTAAAAGAAGAAGAAGAAGAAGAAGAAAACTTCTATAACTAAACCAAAAACCAAAAACCACAACGAAAACCAAGAACAATAAAGCTGGACGGTCCCGTCGCATAAGGGATACGTTAAAGCTGTATTCTAAGAAGCAAAAGAGCGCTGGGAAAATGAAGAGCCAGCCAAGTGTAAGAATAGTACACCGAAAGGAATACCCAAATACAAGTACAAGCCTAGGGAGAAGAATGACGACGATAGAAAAGAAGATGTAGAAGTGGACGTAGTAAAGATGGAGATGGAACTTGAAGACTCGGGCCCACCGGAAGGATTGGTCTATTTTGACGAGAACATACATAGAAATGGATCCAGTATATTTACAACGTTCAGTTGGACTAGCAGCAATGAAGAAATCGACACTATTATCCGAGAGACGTTGATGAGTTTTCGGTCATGTGTCTCAAAGGGACATGAGATTGTCTCGCAAATTGGATCATGTACGGTCAAGATGAAACTGCTTGCATCGGAGATAAGATGCGGCGAAAACTTCCGGACGATAATTATGGTTATGTCAACAATGAATTTTGAGCAAGTAGTAGAGAATTTTAACCGAGTTATTAGACGAAAATTTTATCTGTAATTTTCGATCAACCATTCTTGCTCAAAAGTAGTGTTATATTTTACATAACTTATAGGCAAATTCCTTGTCTTGCTAGTTATTGTTTCTGTTAAGTAAATACAGAATTTAATCTTTCTATGATTATGATTATTTAATTATTAAGAGTATTTTATGCGATTAGACAAGTGTAATTTTAACATATTCGGCTTGAAAGCGTTTGTCGTACATAATCAATATAACATGTACACTTTGAAGATTAACGCGCAATATTTTTACTTCTTTCAAGCCTTCGTTTGATATCGTTCACACTGTTACAAGTGGGATTCTTGTAATAGCAAGGTAGATATAAATACTTCAAATTTGCTAGACAATTTACCACGATTCCTGGTAATTTATTGGAGATCCACAAACATGGGTCACGTGTTAAAGCGCGAAATAAATAGCCCCCCTTGATGACTTTGGACTTTGTCCTCTTGTTTATCTATTCAGATTGTCTTCTTTTAGTATATTGGTTTTATACGAGACGGACATTTTAGGGTTCCCACCAATAAAGAATCCAGCCTTCCAAAAAAGCACGAAGGAGTTATCACTGGTGTTTCTTTCTTGCAAGTCTTCTGCTGCTGATATTGTCTAATCAGTATCCACTTGAGTAATACAACCGAAGGACTATAAAAACGTGAGTCATTAAACTAATTCTATGTTCTATGTGGGGTTTCAAGAAGGGCTAAACATATGCATTAAAAGTTTGGTACGATAGTGACAATACAATTGCAAGAATATTGTATAAGGTATCATTGATATTTACTTTTTCTTATCAGGCTTCGCTTTACGATTAAAGATTTCGTAAAGGAGCGGTTAATATATGTTTCAGAAGCGTAAATTCTCCTGTAAGATAGGATCATAGAAACGGTTTGGCAAAGTGTGTCCGCTTGTAACAGCGTGGATATGAATTTTGTGAGGACAGACTCGGATGATGGATACACTATTTATTGCAGACACAGTTGTCATACGTCCGAGGAGGTGGAAGCATAACTATTATCAGGCAGTGCGCTGCTCCTGGATTAACGTTGAATGAAAGTCTTGTGAACCTACATATGGTGACCCTCTAATGGTAAAGCCACAACTAGCGCATTACCGTTTGGCGCCGAGAATATTCAACGGGGAAAGTAATATTGTAAGTGCTCGATGAACAAAAAAACTGTATTTTACTTAAAACGCTACCACTAAGCTGTAATATTTTGCCATTACTCAGGCAGACGGGAGAGGAACCAGATAAAACTGAAAGACATACTCAAACAGCACTGTATTATATAGATGGGTGGGATACTGTACTCGGTCATCGATTACGCAGTATGTAATGAGCAGTGTGAAGTGCTATAGTGGGTATAATATAATTACATTATACCCACTTAGCCTTCAGTTAGGTTATACCCACTCAGTGACGATGAGATTTGTGTCGTCATTCGAGCGACGATGAGTTTGTGATTGCGTCGTCATTTGTCGAGGAAGTCAGCTGAGAGTTTTAGTTGAAGAAGTCAGCCAGTCTCGTGAGTACAATTGCGTCATCATTGCAGGAGTTGGCTCGCTATGAGATAGCTTGCAGAGTTAACCTGTGGAGATAACTTCATTATTTGGCGGACGAGACCGCGTTTTTGATATCAACAAAAATTACAGTAATCCGCACGTTTTTTTGCTGCTTCGAAAAACTTTTTAAAAAATATATGAACGGGACGGGGATAGCAATCTGCACGTGTTTGCTAGATTAAGCGGGTTTTAGATGACTCACGGAGCGAGGAGGCTTGGTTTGCCTCTAAAAATTTTTCAAATGGCTTTAAAAATTATACATCATATGTTTTATTGTGGGGGAAACACGATAATGTAATGCGAAAACGCTCAACCAAAATTTGGAGCCTCTGACTGATAATTATTTTTGATCTGAACTTTTTTGTGCATGTATCCTCTTCATGATTTTAGACCAATCAAGAATATACTGCCATTGATAATTTTTCCCGAGAATGCTCTTATGTAATAGTTTTTTATCATTAGTCTTACACCAAAGTGATATATTTCTGATACAATTTTGCACAATTAAATCTGGAAACATCCTCATGTATCCAATTATAAATTGAATGTGATTGGGATAGACTGGAGATAAATGCTGGTCAATATCGTTTATTCCTTCACCGATCGATGAAGCCCGACCAAATACCAAAAATTGGCGAATTTTCTCCTGAAAGAGGGACGGTGGTTATATTCGAAGATTTATGTAGAGAAAATGGTTCCTTATTTTACTGAGGGACGCCATTCCAACATATGTAACTCAAAGCCTTTTCGATTGTCCGAAATTAATAAGAAAAAATTTGGACTCTTTAACGGTGCTGGTACATACAATGAGCTGATTGATATAGTTAGGCGGTATACAAAAAAATATTAATATGATTGATAAAAATTTGCAAGGTCGACAGTTTATTGTAATTGACTTGACTAGAGCAAAAGAGGATCCACTCTATGTTCGTTTGGGTTGGGACCATGCTTTGAAATTAGATACATAGAGGTGATGTAAGCTGCCCTTTGGGCGGAGCAAATAATATTTTACGTTAAATAGGTACGTTATTAATCTAGCGCATTTATGAGCCGTACGGCACTCTAATATTTTGTAAACATGCATAGTGTAAGGCGAATTTCTGAGCGTTGAATCCATCAGGGCGGTAAACCCACTCCACGAATTTTCTTGTATCTTAATACACGCTCGCATCTTTTTCCCGACTTCCCTTGCACGTTTAAGTCTTTTAATTGTATTGCATTCCCATAACTCATAACGATGTAATGCCATAATATCAGAATTACATTCTTGTTTAATTTTCAAATACTCTTCATAATTTACACCACAGTATTTATTTCCGGTCCCTTAGTGGGACCTATTAGCTATTTGCATAACGTGAGCATCAAAAGTGGCCCTAACTCTAGTAGGTCCCACCAACGTATATTTGCATATTGCATACTATAAAAAGGAGAGATCAACAAGATGTGGCGTAAAAATTTACTAATGTCGCTTTGTTTCAGAGACTCAGAATAAATCATTTGCATGGTATTTTTTATGCTAGTTAATTTTCTAATCTCATCTGAACAGTCTCTAGACTGTTGCAACAAAAATATATTGACTATTTCTAACGCTTTCAACCCTTCCTCAGCAGAAACAACTGGCAACTCATTTCCCTCCTCATCTCCCACATTATCTTCTCCCTCATCCCGACTTTCATGGATTAATTGAATTATTGTCTTCTCATCCACAAGTTCTTCTATTTCACGTTCTTCAACAGGATTAAAGAAATCTTCCGTTCTCATAGGGTTTCTGTATCTAAATAATAATGGCAATAACAATAATATAATAATGAAACATTTAACGTTAAAGTTGGAATATTAAATACCTTAAGGCGGCAATATCTCTCTCTATCTCGAAAGCTATTGCTTCTTTCATTGTAAATGATAGCGATAACATATTTTACGAGTGCATAATAATAATAATAATAAAATTTTTGAATAATCTGATCATGTGATTGGTATCCTGTCTATTTGCATAAAAACTAACAGTATGCAAATATTTCACCGACAGTACATTTCACCGACAGTCATTTCACGTGACACATTGCTTATCGCACTTATCATTGGTTTTCGATGAAATTTATGTCGCTGAAACGTCTGTCGGTGAAATGATTGTTGATGAAATGAACCGGACCCAAAAATACAAGAGTCCATAGAAAACCGATTTTTTATCTAGTTGATTATTGACATTTTTAGTAATGATTTCCCCTTGATACCCACCATACCCATATTCTTTTCAAACAAAAAAAAATTTTTTTATTTTATCTTGTGTATCGTTGCTCTAAAATAACAACATATTTTCCTATTTAATTAATTTGTTTCATTTCATTCAAAAGACTTTTTTACTTCTTCTACTAACACTTTGATATTTGTATTCATTACTCTGAAAGATAAACTAGTATTGTATCATAGATATTCGACTAATTACCTCGTTTTCTTTGTGAAAAAGTTTTCAAGTGCTTGCCTCGAAACAACAACTGAAACCAGGGAAAGAGATTATGGAAAACAGTTTTAAAAGACAGTATATGAAGGTATTCTTCCTATACCTATCGCTTTTCAGATTTCACTTCTTGTGTTATCTCAGCATACTAACAAATTTAATATTACTATTTCTAAATTATTTGCATCAACCAACATGAACACATTATACGATTCTACTTGTGATTTTCTTTGTGTTGCATTACCAGAACATATAACAGCATTTTCCGTAGTTTATCATGTAATGGATGAAGAGCCTTGGATCCTGAAAGAAAATTTAAGGCAAATATTTCATCAAGCTATCACAGCTGTTGTACCTTCATGTAAACCTGGCTCAAAAGCTTCAAGAATTACCTCTAAAGGTTAGTTTAAAATCAGTCAGCAGGGAAGCTTTATTATATGATGGATAGCATAGAATATAATTCTGATAACTGGGGTGAAGTTATATCCAAAGCCATACAAGCCCTGGGTTGATTATTGAAATGATTAATCCACAGACATATGGGGATGTTTCTTACTTCTAGTTTGAGATGAATACATTTGTCATGCAATTTATCATCTATGTACTGGCCACACATGGTTGATATTTTCATGGCAAGTATCTGATGTGTGTGCACACTGTTTAGAATATTTATTCATAATGTAATGTATAACTTAAGCTTTTTTTTATTCTGTGCTAGTTTGATGATGCCTTTGAAGGAGTATGCAGTCTTTGAGATTTCAAGATTGCTAAACAGAAAGAAAAATTGTCCACCAAGACAATTGAAACAAATTTGCGAATGTTGAAAGGGAACCTAATACTAAAGAAGAGCAAGCCTTGATATGCCCTAACTTTATGGAAGCATTTGCATGACATTAAACCTGAGAATCTTTCATGGTGCGATCCACCTGCAAGTCTGGTTCTTAGCAATGAAAGTGATATTATTAAAGAGTTACCAGATGAAGATTATGAGTCTTTCATGGTAAGAATGCACACATTGCTGATAAAAGATATTCTAAGTAAATAGAGTGACAATTCTTGTCTTTGAAGAATATACTGAAAACAAATGAAAATATATTATTAGGAACCAGTGAGAGTTATGGAAGTATCTCTCCCCCATTCAGTTGAAAACATATGCAATGAATTTTTAAAAAATTATGGCTGCAGAAGCTTTCATGTAGGAGTTGGAGGGAGAGTGAAGAGGTTCTTAGAGATATTACTGTCAGAATTGTCAATACTTGTAAGTACAGTATTAGGTCTATAATGTTAACTGCTCACAAGGTTATACAATAACGATATTTTATACTTTCAGGGGAGAAATCTGGAAGAACCCAGCCTTTAATTGCAAATGCAGAGTGAGGGGACATATGTGGCAGATATTATTGTCCCTATTATTCGGGCCATGCTAATAGATCTACCAGTCGGACCATCTGCATATGAGTGTACGGGCTCTTTCCTATCTATATATATTACTATTACTATTACTATAGACAGCGTTCAGTACTTATATCTTGATCCGAGATTTTGGTGATAGGGACTATAAGGAGATTTTATTAGAGATTGTGACTATAGGCAATGTGATTTTCATATGAAATGGTTTTGGCACGAATTATTTGTGACTATAGGCAGATAGTGACTATAAACGAAGGGACTATAGACAGTAGTTCACTGTATTCAAGGAAGCGCGACATACAAACTGTACATGAATTTGACAATGTGAGTCCATAGTAACCTTTTAATACGGGCACTTGGGTTTGGGATATGAGCTCAGATAAAGATTTTAGGGGAAATAACCGCTAACGGTTTATTGCTTGATTTACCATCATTTATATTGTTGGGCGCATGATGCTAGACTCGTTTCTGCGCTACGGAAACGTTTCGCTGTGTAATTTCAAGATTTATAGATGTAGTTATTTAGAAAGTTTTACTTATTTTGATTTTTTGAATCTATTATTATTAGAGAGGAGAATCTTCAACTAAGAAAGTTCTTCGGAAAAGAAAGGATTCATCTAGTTCAGAAGGTGAGCAATATTAATCCTTCTGATTAATGAAATCCACAATGATAATAAAAGATTACGGATGAGGCGAGTGTGCATAATTAGGTGGCCCGTTGCAATAGGCATATTATCTAATATCACAACCAATAAGCGAACTGGGCCAGCCCGATTTTCGGAACATATACACAATCACATGATATCGTACTGCGCATTTCAGCCCACATGATGTAAAAGATTGATAAAAGTCTTTTCGATCAATACACTCTTTAAATTTATTATCTTCTGAGGTCAAACTTGCGGACATACGCTTAATTGCTAAAGTACGCTAGAGCGGAACGAGAGCTTCATAATTGATTGTTGAAAACAAGGCGAGAATGTCTTCCTCAAGAATTGCAGAATAGATGATATTTCCAGATGTAGAGTCTATTATTCGAAATAAGGATAGAAGATGGTTGATTTTCTCCGAAAGGCTGGCACGATAATTTCAGCAATAATATCTGCCCGTTAGAGAAAACCTAGACAAGCCGGTTGAAGAGGCTAGGGATGTCTACAGCAAATTGTTAGATGAGGGCATCACTATGTGTGATAAAAAATACAAGAGATCGGCCAACAAGTTGAAAAAATTGGGAAAGTAATATGCCCAGGGTAAGTAGATGCTTTATTAATTGCAACCTTTTTAGCAAAGTGATGAATATTAGTGTGGTGTTGTCAAACGGTGGTAATTATGACATGTGCCCTGGAATCGATGGGTCATTCTTTGGGAGTGACTTGTCAGCTCGTACGGATAAGTGCACATCGCCGTATTTGGGCGCTGGTTCTAAGTTCCGCAATGCTCTGGCTTAGCTATTCAGACCGGGGTTAGACTTGAAAATTATACGAAAATCGACTGAATGCAAATTATTATTTATATATGCAGTTGATCATATCTAATCGAACCTTCTATTTTTTAATGTTAAGAATGTGTTGAGAGAAATATACAAGGCTTCAGTGAATTATGAAAAAGAGAAGGTGAGTTTCAGAATATTTGTGTGGAAATTACTGAAAACGGGAATAAAATTGACTAATTTTTTTTATTCATTTCAGCGACGTAAAGATAGTAATGAATATCGGACAACAACAACAAACTTCAAAGGAATTGTAGAGCGCGCAGTAAGTAGAATTGCTTTGTTTGCAAAAGATATATTTTTAATATTCGGTTTACTAATTATTACTATATCAATATTATAGCAAAGATCTATGGACAATGCTAATGTGTCAAGAGAAGACAAGAAAGCATTATATGCTATAAAAACTGTCTTCTTGACACTAAGCACAGAGATCAATCCCATGTTGCCTGCTGCATCGGGCGTTATCGACTTGACGGGTAAGGACTGTGAATGTGTAAAGGCGTTAATAGGACATCTGCCTCGGGTGATAGAAATATTAAGTAGAAAATCTTTCACCTGTCAGGTAGAACGCCGTGCAACAGTTTCAACGGTTGTGGAACTGTTTGTAAATACAATGCAAGGCATATCACATCCTCCTAGTCCAGTCGATTTAATGCCTTTACATATGCCTGATGTAGGTGATGATTGGGATGATCGTGCAGAGGCATTGACAGCCTTTGATCTGGTCGAGGGTTTGTAAGTATTAGTATTAATAACGTATTGTTTGTATTTCCCTCAGGGACAACGAAATTATTGTTATTATTATTGAGATGCAAACGGGTTAAATCGTTAATAGAAAATTATATTAAACCCGTAATCGATAAAAATAGCGAGCGAGCTTAAATGAATACCAATCATAATTATATATTCTATCAATACTATTTAATTAACCCAGCTAGTATAACTGGATAACGGTTATTTGATGTTTAAGCATCTTCAATAGCTTAAAACAAGCCATAGTAGTAGGCGAACCATGACAACTGATAAGCTAATCCGAATTAAACTTTCATGCTGCATACTCGTCGCATTTCATAATATCGTTCAGTCGAATGAGCAAACAGTTCATCCCGTAGTATTTAATAGCTTGTATTTGATGTATTTAATTTACATCCAACTTACAATCACTTTGTTAATGGTAATTTTGCTCAATTTATGCCTAATACTCCATACTAAATATATTTTTCACCATCTTTATACAATTCAACCATCTCCCTTATTTTTTTCTTTACTTCTGACCCATTTTCATAAAAAGTATAAACCTTACTTCGTGCCTTAGCATATCCCTGTTCAGCTGCTCTTTCATATAACTCAAGTGCCTTTTTAATATCTGCTTCCACCCCAATTCCATTTTCATAATACAGGCCAAGAATATATTGTGCATAAGGATTTCCTTCTTTAGCTGCTAATTGACATGTTACAGTTACATAGCTAATGTCAATATCTACTTCAGCCCTTTTGCTATAATATTTATTGCTTTTAACTTGTATTGACAAATGTGCTTGTTTTACTCCACTATTATATAACTCAGCTGCTTTTTGTTCATCTTTTTTTACTCCAGTTCCATTTTTGTAACATAAAGCAAGACTAATTTGAGTAATGGCATCTTCTTGTTCAGCTGCTTTTCTATACCATTCAAATGCTTTTTGTTCATCTTTTTCTACTCCAGTCCCATTTTCATAACATAAAGCAAGACAAAGTTGAGCAATGGCATGTCCTTGTTCAGCTACTTTTTTATACCATTCAACTGTTTTTTGTTCATATTTTTCTACTCCAGACCCATTTTCATAACAAGAACCAAGATTCAATTGAGCTTTGATATCTCCTTGTTCAGCTGCTTTTCTATACCATTCAACTGTTTTTTGATGATTTTTTTCTACTCCAGTCCCATTCTTATAACATACAGCAAGATTAAATTGAGCACTGGCATGTCCTTGTTCAGCTGCTTTTCTATACCATTCAACTGCTTTTTGATCATCTTTTTCTACTCCAATTGCATTTGCATAACATACAGCAAGATTAAATTGAGCACTGGCATCTCCTTGTTCAGCTGTTTTTTTAAACCATTCAACTGCTTTTTGATCATATTTTTCTACTACAGTCCCATTTTCATAACATAAAGCAAGACTAAATTGAGCCTTGGCATGTCCTTGTTCAGCTGCTTTTCTATACCATTCAACTGTTTTTTGATGATTTTTTTCTACTCCATATCCAGTCCCATTTTCATAACATAGAGCAAGATTAAATTGAGCACTGGCATCTCCTTGTTCAGCTGCTTTTCTATACCATTCAACAGCTTTTTGATCATCTTTTTCTACTCCAATTGCATTTGCATAACATACAGCAAGATTAAATTGAGCACTGGCATGTCCTTGTTCAGCTGCTTTTTTAAACCATTCAACTGCTTTTTGATGATCTTTTTCTACTCCAGTTCCATTTTCATGACATAAAGCAAGATTAAATTGAGCCCTGGCATGTCCTTGTTCAGCTGCTTTTCTATACCATTCAACTGCTTTTTGATGATCTTTTTCTACTCCAGTTCCATTTTCATAACATAAAGCAAGATTAAATTGAGCCCTGGCATGTCCTTGTTCAGTTGCTTTTCTATACCATTCAACTGCTTTTTGATGATCTTTTTCTACTCCAGTTCCATTTTTGTAACATAAAGCAAGATTAAATTGAGCCTTGGTATGTCCTTGTTCAGCTGCTTTTCTATACCATTCAACTACTTTTTGATGATCTTTTTCTACTCCAGTTCCATTTTTGTAACATAAAGCAAGACTAAATTGAGCACTGGCATGTCCTTGTTCAGCTGCTTTTCTATACCATTCAACTGCTTTTTGATCATCTTTTTCTACTCCAGTTCCATTAACATAACAACAACCAAGATTAGATTGAGCACTGGCATGCCCTTGTTTAGCTGCTTTTTTGTACCATTCAACTGCTTTTTGATCATCTTTTTCTACTCCAGTTCCATTTTCATGACATAAAGCAAGATTAAATTGAGCACTGGCATCTCCTTGTTCAGCTGCTTTTCTATACCATTCAACTGCTTTTTGATCATCTTTTTCTACTCCATATCCGGTCCCATTTTCATAACATAAAGCAAGATTAAATTGAGCACTGGCATCTCCTTGTTCAGCTGCTCTGTGATATAACTCGAATTGATTCCCTTTTTTCATTCTAGTAGGACAAATTAAATGCACAAGTACTGAATAGTGAAAAACTTTTTCAGCATAGAAACAATATTGCTAAATTTTCACCTAGTTAATAGCAAGTCGTTGAATACAGAGAGTTTTGAACAATAGATGTTTTATGTTTTATATTCGCAAGGAAAAATATGCAGTATCCGAAATGTGTAACATTACAATGTGTGCCCCTACAGGTGTGTAACAATACATGTAATAGAGCCCACCCTTAACGAAGTGGTCTGTTCCGTCGCTTTTCTTCACTATATCCAGATTTCCTCTTTATAAGGAAAAGTCTTATACAATTTCCTTGTAGCTTCGTTATAAACAGGTCAATCACGTGCCATCTGTATTACTCGCCAATTTCGATATAATAATAAACGGCTAGTACTACACATCGAATGTCACGTATTCCTCAAGAGTAGTTTGTCGTGCTAATTCTACACTTGTTTGAGAGATTTTTTTCTTCTTCTTAAATTAGAAAAAGTGATTATAACGGAATTATCAACATTCAAATTCTTTTGTGCACCCTAAGCGTGCGGCGTTTGTTCTTAACAAGTTTTGTCGCATCATCGTTAACCATTATGATGAGACTTTAAGGGATGACGAATTGTGGTATGCATATTTATTTACTAATTTTACTAATAATGGTAAAGATTATCGAAATTATAACGAACTTTATTATAATAGTGAAGTTTATTATAATACAGTGTGGTTCGTTATAATATAGTGAAGTTTATTATCGAAAAACCTTGTTACATTCTTATTATTATTAGTTGACAGATTTAAAACTTCATTATTATTATAGCCAGTAACCAGGTTCACTGTGTACTACAAAAACAGTGGCTAAATATCGGATATTACTAATGCAGATATTATTAATTGTGAAACAGCTGAGCACCTAGAAAAAAGACTTCAGAAGAAATGCGATCTTTAGACCAGCATCATATTGTGAATTGTTATAATATCACCCGAGTCTTTGATTGAAGAATTTATTTCAGAGTATGGAATACGCGCTGGTTTAGAGCTCTCTAGAAACTACGAGATGCTGGAACTGATAATGAGACCGCTGTTGAGGCCATTATCAGGAACTGACCTTTCAATTTACGATACATTTATGCTTCGCGCATCTTTCAACCGAGTTGCGTGATTAGAGACAGGGATCTTTACTGGCGATGTATATTATTGGATGTTGTCTCATCTTGTTAATATTGCAATTCTTATAAGATGAGCCTGCACGAGACTTTGGAGGCATCGACCAAATAATAATAATAATAATAAAAGTGGATAGATTGAGTGCGAAAATCTGCTTTTTGGAAGGTCGCTTTTGAGGAAATTTTACAATCGGAGCTTCACAATCATTCTAAGATATTGGGAGTGTGTATTTATTGATGCAAATGACTTTATTATTGTTTCGAAGACGACAAATAAGGCACTCACAACAGAGAAGAAGAACAATCGCTATACTATGATCTATGAGAATTATACTGAACTAACTATAGTGTCTACTTACTCTCGTTTAATATCCGGCTCTACTCCCACATTGCCGACGAAATGAATATCTTAGTTGATTTGTCCTTTGGCTGGTGTGATTTGAATAGAAATCGGGAGGTGTGATTTGAATAGAGATAGGCATACGTGAATGTCTGTCTTGTCAATAATAGCTACAAGCTAATTAAAAGTTCAAAACTGTTGATACTAAATAATATGTAATAGCAATAACAACAACAACAACAACAACAACAACAACAACAACAACAACAACAACAGCAGCAGCAGCAGCAACAACAGCAACAACAACAGCAACGACAACATTCTTTCATTCCCTCTACTCGATCATTCCCGCCATTTGTTTGAAATTAAATTTGCCATACTATAAAGCTGGGTTGCCACCAATTTTTTAAGTATTAAGATTTAATTTCCACTCGGCCGCCACTCGTTTACTTGTTTAACCTGACTCCAAATCCTTATGCAACGAACCAATTAACAATCTCTCGATAAAGCTTACAACAGATGCTAATCCAAATGTCGGTATAAACAGAGTTGACTGTACTATAAAATATGCTTGATATGACGGATTCATATCACGTGTACCGTCTGGCCAATCAAATTGTATCAATAAATATCAAACATTCTGAATTACTTTAAGTGGCGTACAAAAAAAAGTGATTAAATTGTTTTAAAGCAATTTTCGGTGTGGAGATTGTCGCCTTAATCTGTAATATTTGTCGTAATTAACCGGGAAAACGTTACAATGAACGTAATTAGACGTAGCTGGAGTAAAGCTTCCTACGATAACGAAAATATTGGAGCCGTAGAAGTAGAATTAGAAAGGAGTCGTCAATGATACAATCGTAGGACTTGATAGTGTGGTGAAATATGTTCCACAGAATAATTTAGTTAATGACGGAGTTACATAATTTCAGAAGACCCATTACATACAAAGGATTTGTGTAATAATCTTATCTTTTAATGCCAAGCATTAAATCCAAAGGTTATGTAATTAGAACACGCT